ATCTCCGCGCTCAGTCATCATGGCTACGTCATCACTCCCCACTGCCTGTTTCCATGGAGGTAGGAAAGGGAGGAGGGGCCATTCCGCGCTAGAAGTGAAGCACTGCTTTGAAGCTTGGGTCACCAGACGGGGTGTTCTTTGTTTACATTCAGAAGCTCGCTTGACAAGATTCTGATAGTATTTCGACACACGACAGTTCCATAGAAATCGAAAAAGGGACACTCTCGCATGAAAGAAACATTCGTAGTGTGATGGATAATAGGAATTTGTATAGTTTACTGACATTTATGCAAAAATCACATCTCGGTTATTTTTCGATAACTAACAACAGCGATTTTGATTATGAATTTGATTTTATAAAATTCTAAGCTGTTGCACTACAAAAATATAGATTTTAAGAAAATTGCTAAAAGAGATCTGCCAAAATTTATTTTCTCGATGATTTGAAAAGTTTGAAACTTGATGGCTAAATGTAAATATAAAATTATGTATGTTAAAATATTTGTAATTAGGCACATAGGTCAGATTAAGTTTTTATTAAATAGAGTAACGCATGCAAGGGCTATCTGCCTAAAGAGAGAGATGCCATCGTGGAAGAATTTTGAAGCAAAACTGACCTTTGAGTGGGTATTAAAAATAATACTTATAATTTTCATTCAAATTATATTCATATATATTTTTTATGTAAAACTTTCGGGTGTATGCTAAATTAGTGTAAATTACTTTACACGAAAAATATAGTGAATGCACAGAAATTAAAGATTTGCACATGCCAGAAATGATAAATAGGAAATATGTATGGGTATTTATGCATGTGCTTGCAAAAAGCATGTATCTGCCTTTGACAAAATACTTAAATATTCATTAAATTATTTATAAATGTATTTGAAATGAAGAATTTATTCACTTATAAACAACTGTGAAAGTACTGTGAAGAAATCTAATGATTAAATGTATCTAATTTATAATGATTATAAATGTTATCTAAATATATAATAACCTTAATATTGAATTGTAAACATAAATTGAAATCCTGTTGACAAATACGTTATAAAACTATTTAAGCAAGAATTGCTCGTATTGGAAAGCAATCTGTTAAAAGGTATTGTAAAGCAAATGCTATGAGATGCGCACTTAAGAACGTAATAAAGAGTTTTGGAATATGTATTGTTGAAATGAAGGGTAAAAAAAAAAAAAAATCTGATAAGTATAATTAAAAGAATTATTCCCTTTACATTTTATAATAACTCAGTTACAAGTTTTAAATAATACTTAAAAAAAAACTTATTTTATTCCCTTTCAGAAATGTTCAGAGAAAGTCAAATACTATTTAATACCTATTTAATTATTAGGAATTAACGAAATACTTATTTAAAGTATTTCGCTAATTCCTAATAATTCTCTAATTTAAAATGAACCGAATAGAGCATTAATTATAAATTGACTTACATTTTTCGATTTAAAAGAAGCCAAAAAATCATGTCATATTTAAGAAAGTATTTTAGGAAGAAGCTCTATAAATAGAAAAGAAATAATGCATAGTTTTAATATTAATAATATAATAAACTTTGATCTTAATTTTTGTACCTTAACCGAATAAAATCGAATTACCTTAATTTTTTTTCTAATGTAATTAACGAAAACTTGTGAAAATATTTCATTCAAATTAAACCATTCTGAGAAAACTGTCCTGTGAAAAGTATAGCATTTAATTCCGTTCAGAATGAAATGTTGTTTAAAAATATGTTGTTTTCACATACTTGGGACTCTGAAGTGTTGTAGAAAAAGAAAATATATACATTTATATGTATATTTGCGACATAATTACAAAATATTTACACCCGAACGCGTCAAATCCCATAGAACTCAATGGTAAATGACCCAATGTTTTGGTCACCACGTAGGGATGGCCGGTGCTTCAGAGCAGGGTACGGAGAAACTTGTTTAGGGCGACTCCATCTTACTTCCTACCTTCATGTCTGTTTCAGGGGGAAAAGCTCTATGAGCTAGCCCTTCTCTTTTAAGTCCTGCCAGTCAGGCTCCAGTTTCGGTTAACCAACAAATTAAGAAACGGGGCCGCGGAAGCAGAATTATTTCAGGGAAAAATAAACTCAAGAGGTACCATTAAAGAGGGCTTAGAAAAGAAGGCTCGGAGTTCAGCCAGAGTGTGAACCACGTACCAGGAGATGACTGAGTGCAACAGGCTATGATTTACCTATCATAGGACTAGTTTATCGCCAAAAGGATCACCAGAGAGAGAAAAAAAAAAAAAAAAAAACAGATGAAATTTATTATCTTCAAGTATTTAGTTTAAAAGTGCCACAATTGCTATTTATCTTAAGCATTACCTCAAGCAAGGTCATTTTTGTTTTGTTATGTAGCACGAAGCTTTTGAATTTAATTATGCATTTATGCGCAATGATTTTAAGTTTAATCTAAGAATAGAAACTTTGAATTTCGTCCAAAAGGCTCATTTTTGTGGAAGTTTGTCGAACTTGCAAAATACCTTTGAGCAACTCATGTGCATGTGATGTAAAGTGTAAACTGAACAGAATTTTCTCAGTTTAATGTATTGTAAATGTTTCATGAAGTATGTTTAATAGTTTAGTACTGCAAGAGTAACAAAGCTATTGATCTGTATGTTAAAGTAGATTCTTGAATAAAAGTTGAATTCTTGAAGTATGAATGAAATGTTTAAATGTAAGCTAGCATTGTAATATATAACTGAGTTAAGACAAAAGTTGCGGCAGCATGAAATTAAAAGTTAAGTTCTCCAGCCAACACAAATGTTTAATGACCTATTTTGATTAGTAAATTAGGTTAAGTTTTGAAATTAGGGTGTTTTTGAAGTCTAGTGTATCTAAGTTTATAACATGTAGAATTTCTATTATATGGTAATGTTGAAATATTTGTATGCATGAAATACGCTCGCATATTTCAATACATTTTACTATAGAGCGAAGGAGGAGGGAATTTATTTTTAAAATAACTGAAGAATGTCTGAAAGATTCAGATGAAGATGAATTGAAAAAAATTCTGGTAAAGTGATTTGAAAAAAAAGAATGATGTAAAATGTGTTAAATTTGTTGCTAAAATGTTTTTCCTTCCAGATGACTGGAAGAAGAGCAGCCGCTGTTTATAGTAAAATGTGTTATGAAGAAAACTGTCTTGGAGAGATCCAGCTGGATGTACTTATTTGTACGTTTTCTTACTTTTAAAAAGTTGACTCTTGGTAGGTTAAAATATAAGATCTTACCAAGGTCATTAAAGGTCTTTGTTGCCATTTCTTAAATTCTGGTGAAAAAAATGTAAGGTTTCTTTAATTTTGAATAGTCAGTTATTTTATGTTTTGAATTTTTACTGTCACTTTTGTCTTTCCATTTGCCCTCCAGATTGCAAGTGAGTTCGCGCAATAGATTTGAATTATAATCTTTAGGTTCTTTTTCCATTTTTCATAAAAGTTTCCAAAAATGTTCTTTATCCACCTCGCTAGCAAGGTACATTGTAAATTATTCTGCTGAACATATATGTACATGCTGATGCTTTCCATCAATTTCTGGCGCCCACCAGCGGCCGAGCAGTAAAGTCGTTGAACACTGGTAGTTCGATCCGAGGTTCGAATCCCGCGAACGGGCTGGCTTCATGGGTGTTTTCGTGGTTTTTCCCATGTGTAACGTGCATACGAGCCAGTTTACCCTAGAAAGTCCTCCACGAAGGCATCCCTCCTCTTAGGTAGATAGCACTAGTGTGCTTTGCCATAATTAAATACACCAACACAGCATCATCAAACTCTGAGAATCCCTCAACTTGCAAGCATTTCTTATTTCTTTGTGTTTTCAGCCTCCACTTTCGGAAATAAAAATATATTCATGAAGGACTGAACGGTATACTATGTTTTTAATATCTAATTAGATAAGAAAGTAATGCGAAATTTCTAGTAATTTTTTTTTCTTTTTGCTGCTACGCATGGATTTTTATTTTATACTCCTTTTTTTAATTAAGTAGTTTTTTTTTTCATTACTTGAATGTATTTAGATTTCATTTATGGCATGTTGATATTGGTTTAACATTAAACGAAAATCATTTTCAGGCTGATAAAAGAATCTTGTTTGCACAACTGCAAGCTCAGTGACCTTAATTAATTAGAAACGCAAATTAAAAAGCCAAAAATTAACAGATTATTCTTTTAATATATTTGTAATAAGCAATTATAATTTTTGCTTATTCTGCACCTTAGAATATGCTTACCTGCTCTTCATTACACAATAGCTTCGTAATCAGAGCGGATCTAAGCGCCCAACGTGATTTGATCCACATTCTGAACTTTGGAAATAGTTGTCTTGTATTTTCGTCGTAAACCTAACTTATATACTTTGAAACCTTTATAATTATTATTAACCTAGTGTTATAATTAAGGTGTAACGTTTAAAATTTTATTTTATGAATAGGAGTTATCTTATGCAGTCAAAAAAAATCTACTCCCCTTTAAATGCATGACTAAGTTTAGAAAACTCAAAAATGTTGAGAAACCAATTTTGTAAAATAAGCATAAGAGTTCTACCTTTCTTGGCTAATCTTTGGAATATGGTAACAGGCAGCTTGGCGACATTTTGGTATGCGATAAAGGTTACTACCTAGGACTTTGGCAATAATGTGAGAAGTACCCAGTTCCAATTACGCATTATTTTGTCTGAGAGAAATGAGAGATCATGAGATATGTCATGTGACATTTATGGACGAATCACAGTTCTTTAATCGGAAAAAGGGGGGGATTTTGTAAAATATCTGCAGCACTTTATAGTATTTTGTATTTAGCTTCATTGTGTGTTTTGTGAAAAAGTGTTGCTTAATTTATGGATTCCATGGCCCTATCTAAAGTTAATTCGAAATTTTTATTGCGTTTAACATTTTGTATTTAGCTTCATTGTGTATTGTGTGGGAATGAAATGAGATTGTGTGAAAGGAAGGATATTACAGATAAGTTTGAATGGCGGTACAAGAAATCTGGTGAAAATGGACATTTGATCCGCCATGCACTCAAGATTCTGTAGAAGATTAGGTAAGTTAGTATGTTTAATCATTTGAGGATATTATTTTTATGCATTGTTCTAAATATAAGGAATAAATAAATTAATATGCTATTATTGGAAAATTTTTATTAGCAATGAATTAGTTTAAAGTAATTAAAATTTTAAGTAAATTTTTGTTAATTTAATGTATGTGTTTATTTATATTTTAAGTAGTTTTTTTAATTTAATTATATTTTAATTAAATGATAGTTATTTTGTGAGTTATATGTTTGTAGCATTTTGGAATACGTTTCAGTAGAAGTAAACGTGCATGGAAATAATTTAAATATTTGACACTGAGTATTTGCAACCATTTTTAATGTTTGCTTTATAAATTCGCAGGTGACGTTTATAATAGATAATTTAGAGGGAAAAGTTTTTGGATATTTTATTTATTTTATACGTGCAAATGTTCAACCTTGGGAAGGGCATATACTTTTTCGCGATCAGGTAATTTTATATATGTCCTTTTTACCGACTTTAAAGATTCACAAAATTTTCCTGCATTTTCGTGCAAATTTTTCTAATTTATGAGAAAAAAAGCAGTGTACAAGTCAAGAGTGTGCGCAGTGCCATTTTTGTGCAATTCTGGGATGTTTTTTTAAGTAAAAATAGGTCGACGTATACATGGTTACCGTGTATGTGCCATTCTGAAAAACGCGGCAAGGAGTTTGCGATTCTGCACTTTCTCCCAATTTTGCAGTTAATATTCGTCATGATTAAGCACTTTTGTTCCATAAAATTTCTAGCATAAGCGTAATTCGGCTAGCAGATTGTTGGAAAAAATGTTGAGTAAGTAAAAAGAAAAGAAACCTGTCTTTACTTCGTGAAGACAAAATGGCGGCGAAAAAAAGAGTAGAAGGTTGCTGTAGCAGGGTTGGTTGCCAAATTTTCGCCAAAAATCGCCAAGTTACCATATTCCAAAGATTAACCCATTTCTTTTGATGATACTTGCTCTGGAGCACTGCTGTTATTAGAAAATGGTGAAATTATTTAACTTAAGAACTAAATCATGGTATCCATGACTTCTTTTATGAAAAGTTCTAGACCATTAGCATTATCCTTTGTTATCTTACTAGTACGCTTGTATAAAGCTTATTCAAATTCTCCTAAATGAAGAATTTTTTAAATTTAGAAAGAAATAATATTTGAACAAATCTTGAGATTTTCCGCAGTTTAGAAAACATTCTTATAAGGTATAATTCAAAATTCTAATCTGGAGCTTCATCTTTTGAAATCCATACATATTTTTATTTGGTGAGTTGACATAGGCAAAAGTTTTTGAAAGTGAGAAACCTTGTAGCAAAATATTTTTCATAAAGAGATCTTTTTATTGGGAAAATATAATGTATCTGGTTATATTCTATATAAAGAGAAGGAAATAGCAATATGAAACCTTTTCTTCTTGTATTTATTCCCATATTTCTATGTTTTCTTCTATAATTAAGCGAAAGGCTCCAAAGTAATAATTAATTGTAGTATCTACGACCTTTTCTTGTTCTGCTTTAAACAAACTTCTAACATTAAATAAACATTCTCCAGAGCAGACAGTGAATAAAGGAAACATACAACAGAATTCCCCAGAATGCGAGAAGTACAAGATTTTTTTTTTTTTTTTTTTTTTTTTTTTTTTTTTTTTTTTTTACCCTGCTCAAAGAATATTGGAAAAAAAAACAGAGAAACTGAAATTTAAAATGGAATTTCTTGAAAAACTGCATACCAGGAAAACTGAAAAAAGGATTCATTTCGTCAGCGATCGGAATTTTTGGCCTCAGTCATGGCCTGGAAGTAGAAATTGTTCACTGAAGAAAACCACAGTTCAAAAGACGTTAATGTTTCTAAATTAAGGTGTCTTAAAATTTCCCCAAATGGGTTGCATACTTAAAGAAGTATGCTCGAAATTTCAAAAATAATTGCTGAGGGGACGAAGTATGAGAAATATATATGGCACATTCTATTGCATAATTACAATCTTCCTTTTGCAGGAATAACGGTCCCTTCTTGCAGCCTAAATATTTCAGGAAACCTGAAACTCTGTCTTAGGAAACTCTGTCTTAAGCAACTTTTAAGGTAAAGTTGCTTAAATATAGTAACCAAATATAGAGCATAATAATACTGTCTTAATACGCCGAATTCTTCAAATGATAATTTATCAAAAGGCTTTCTACTTTTATTTCTTAAAGAGCATTTATAGAATATTTGAATAAACACGCAAGCTTCACATTTTTTTTCAAGTTACATAATTTTAATTCAATGCACTGAAAAGTAAAAAAAAAAAAAAAAAAAACAATTTTTTTAAGCTATCATAATATTTTTCATCACATCCGACTAAAATTGTAATTCTTCTAATAATGATCGATTTTGAACCACAATTATCGAAAAACATTAGCAAACGGAGTGGGATCAATTTTATATATGTCATTTCTATACTTGAAATTTTTCCATTCTTATATTTGCGATCCACGATATTTCAGTATCCTCGGTATCAGAATACTAAGACAGTTATGAAGACGATTTTTTACTTTATAGCGCATTTATCTGAAATTGTGCAATTTTAAAGTTTTTTTACACAGAGTTTATTTTATACCTCTTGGTCTATACAATGGAATGGTGAATAGTAAAAAAGGAACACATGAATGTACGAAAATTATTTCTTTTAAACAGCGTAGCGATGGAGTATGCGTGAGGACCCCTTGCTTCAAGTTTTGGGGATTTATCCGAAGATTATATTCAATTCATTTAAATTTCTGTTTGAGTTAGAAATGTGATATCATGATCACTTAAATTCAAAGAACTGTTAACAATAAAGAATTAAATTGCTTAATTTAAAAATACACCATTATTAGCAACTGCATGACAGTTAAAAAAATTAAAGATATGTGAAAAACAGATACAGTTCCATAAGTTAGAAATTCTAAAATATCTGCATTTTTATTGTAATTTGTATATCTATTCGATGGTACAAAGATCGAAATTTTGCGAATATTAGTCTATCGTTAAATAAGGATATGTGAGGGAAACGGCATTAAATTGAAAAAAAAAAAAACTGTGTTGAGTTTTATGTACGATCGCCGCAAACATGTACGTACGAAACTTTTCCAGAATATTGAAGGGGGAGAAAGAAATCAAAATTTAATTTCAAGACTTGACGAATAATGGGGTGGGGGATAAAGGCAGAGTGAGAAAATAAGTCAGTAAAAGAAAAGTCATGTAAAAGGAAACGAACTTCATAAGTTTAGGAAAGAAACATATGTCTATGCGATTAGAGAAAACTTTGAGAATGTTCTAGCTGATAACAAAGCCACTGGTTTCACTTATAAACCAAAAAAGTAAAGTAATTGAACTGAATTTATTTATCTTTCATCAGTTTTGACAATTGTTTCTTAGTTCCTTTCCTTCACTACTTCCGAGTTTCGGGATATTTGAAGATTTGCCAAAATGTTCGTTGCTAAGGGTTTTAACAATTCTAAAGATTTTAACTTAATCATATTTTTGACCATTAGCACAAATATTATTTCTGTGACTTTTAACATAAGTACTTACATCAATTCAAAGAAAACTTTTTACTATCATAAACACAGAAATTAATTGTAAGTCGTCTAGCTTATATTTACATTAAGAACTTTCCTTCAAATAAAAACATAATAATTTCTTTGGGTAGTATTTATTACCTGCTTTTTATGCCCTCAACCTCATTCTTTCCCTCTGTGTTATTTCGCTTACAATCAATGCTTCTTTCACATTATGGCAAGACAAATATTTTTACAAAGAGATATTTACATTTTGTCTAATCTAGGTGCTCCCGAGGGCTACTTGTTGCAAGACTTGGGGAGATTTGATAACAACATTTACAATTCAATTCCTCTTTCTCATTTCTACATCCCTTATAGAACTTCTAGTTCTTTTCGGTTACAGAATAATTTTCCCTAGAAAGGTAAGTACGTCAACATTCCTATTCACCCCATTAAGTTTAATGTGCTGTTCTTTGCTCTTATGGTATGTTGTAAGTATAAGTTTCAAAGTAAGTACTATAAATAAAACATTTTTTAAATATATCATTCTGTTCCTTTCCTTGCTTATTGACAGAATTAGATTAATACATACATTTCTTATATTTAAAAGTGTTTTACCACAGACTAAGTGTGTTTTTTAGACGAAATTATAATTATTAGGCTAGCATATAGTATGTCTTGCTGTAGAAAAGCGTTTGGCGAGTTTGGTCTTATAACGGAAAAGTATAAATTCTAATTTCTGATGTTATGGACATGGCATAAATTAATTTTTCTGTGGTAAAGGAATGATAAACATTTTATTAGTTAAAACCTGATTTACTTTGCACGCTCAATTATGTTTCCACATGGTTTTGTTTAATTGTTTCTCTGCTTGTTGGTTAATGAGTCTGTTTATTAATTTGTTTATTTGGGCCAAATCCTAAATTAACTTCTGACTCCTTTCTATTGATTCAATTTTCCATAAATTTCCCACATAAATAAACATTTATAAACTTAATATTCTGTTCAATGTCAATTATAAATATTACGCATTTTTTATTTTTCTCCTATACCACTCATTATCGGGGTCAGTGGCAACGTGCTCCATGTACATTCTTTGATGTGCTCATGTACATTTTTTTCTTTGATTTGAAATTATCGCATCGATCGTAGCATATCCTCTGATCATATACTATTTCATATTCACAAATCAGTGACTTAACAATCACGAAATCTTTAAAGGCAGCGGATCCTTAGAATCCTCGATAGAATATTAAGTGTTGCCATATTCGCTTTATTTTTTATATTTGCTATGTTTGTTTGCTTTAAAAATAATACATATCGGTAACATTTGATGGCAGCATCTTTTTATTTGAAAAGTGATTCAAGAAAACAAATTCGAGGATTGAAGCTAACAGACTTAATTGCTTCATAACGAGAGCTCTGTTTCTTAATGAGCTTATCCTCGTTTCATTTAGCATAACTCCAAGAATTTCTTTAATGCTAATAAATGTAATGTTGCTCTGAATCGCTTTCTTCATTTAAATATCAAATTTGAAAACTCTTAGATTAAATCATATATTTTTTACGAAAGTCTGTTCAGAACTTCAAGTAAAGTATCAGTATTTGCCAAATGATGTTCCCATTAATGTATGTATTAATGTATTAATACATACATTAATGCCTTAATTACTAAAACTGGAAAACTGTGGATTATCTTTTACTATAGGTTTTAATTAAAACTGTTATTGCATTCGAATAAAGTACTACTTTCATTGTCCATTAAAGACTGTTATGGGCTTCCTGTAAAGTATCACTTTTGGTTGTCCAGTTTTACCCCAAATCTAATCAACTCTTTATATGAAGAAAGCTTAAATACGAAAAACAGAAAATTGTAGAAGCTTCTTGTAAGAGTTAAAGAGAAGAAAAAAATTGCCCACACAACATACAGACAGATAGGCAGTATTTTAAAAATTATTCGTGTTGTGAGGGTCCTAATTCATGGTTATTCATTGAAATCTCACTATCGAATTTTTGGATCGAAAACATTACTTCCTTACCTGTTGTTAAATATAAATTTCTGATTATGTATTATCAACTTGCCAATATATGGCAGTAGTGCTTATTTGTAAAAGAAACTATGGCGTTATATTTGTGTATATGTAGCAGTTCTTCTCTGGTGTTCCTGAATAAATGTTGCGTAGAATAAAGCTCTCTTAGCTTAAATTCGAGTCTGATTTATTAGATTTTCTTCATGGTGAGGAAAGACGGGATTATTACGAAGCGGAATAATCGACAGACTTGAATATTTCGAAAATAGACGGTGTTCTTTAAAATTTGAAAAAGAAACGAACTGTTGTAAGGCTGTTAACTACTATTATTAACCAAAATCGAAACAAATTTATCAAATGATATTCCGCTAAAGGAAGAAACAATATATCATCGAGGATTTATATGAACAGGTAATTGAGAAAATAACTAACTGAGAAGCTTAGATTCAAAAATCTGATGTGTACACCATATAACTTCGTTGTACGGAATATTAAATTATACGCATTTTTTCTTGCATTTCGTTTAAACCTATTGGATTGAATTAAACCTACTTCGCCGACAGCGCAGAAACCACAATAGAGTAAATGCATTCTTTAAAATTCAATCTATTTGTTTACCATAGCGACACTCTGGCACTAGATTCACTTAACAGTATTATATTTCGTTCATATTGTAACTCAGAATACACAAAATTTATATCATTTAAAGAATTATCTAATCGTTGCCACATGTTCTATTCAAATACTATAATAAAGCTAGAACGATGTATAAAAGAAATTAAGCAAACAAAACAAAAAAGAAACAGTTTTTCACAGACGATTGAGTATTTCTCATTCAATTAATTCAGTTCTCACTTCGCGACAAGGCAAAAATACATAAAAACCCATAATATCTGTATTAAAAATTACGAAGTGAATCTTAAACACTCATTTCCTCGAAAAATCTCCAGAAAGGATTAAGCATGATTTAATTGGAAATAATAAATGAAGGCGTTATCTTTGTTGTTGCGAAGCTACGTTTCTCTAGATTGGCAACAAATCCACTACTCTGCTGTTTCAAATGTAAACAAGGAATGGCCGCCATCAAAAAAAATTATTAGGCTTAGCGGCACTTAAACAACTTTAAAATTGTTGATAATTCTAAAAATATTGTATACAGATTTACTAAACGCATAAAAACCTTAACTGGAAGATAAGAACAACATAATTCAATAATTTTTAAAGCAAAAAATGTAAATTTACAAACATAGAAGAGTAAAGAAATTCAGATTACTGAGCCGGGTAACAGAGTGGATATATATATATAAATATATTTATATACGTTTGGCGCGGCCGATTGCAACCAAAATACGAGGTGCACATCTACATGTTATAGCAGTCCTATATACAAAATTTCAACAATCTGTGGCTACTCGTTTTTGAGTTATGCGGGATACGTACCTACGTTCGTTCGAGATACGTACGTACGATTTTTGGAAAAGAATTTGGAATGTTCTAGAACTGCAGTATATCAAAACGAAAAGGCGAATATTATACTTATAAAAGAAAAGAAACAGGGATGTTACCTTGTCTACAAATCTTAACTTATTACTTATCATAACTTATTACGGAGATACGTTTAAATGGTTGGGCTTTTGTAACTAGTTCGAAAATATGATGCATAATAACAGAGGCCTAAGAAAAACTGAAACATTTGGATACCTAAAATCCTTACTTAGCAGTAATGATTTAGCTGCCATTTCTGGTTTCGCTGTAACAAACCAGAATTGTGATTCCGCAATAGAAATACTGAAATAACGTTTTGGAAGATAAGATATAGTCAACACTTCGCATATGAATGAATTGTTATTTCTTGTACTAGTTTGGAACATTCCAAATGTTAAAGCACTGCCTAAACTGCGTGTTGAACGCGAAGTCAACAAACATCCGAAGTTTAGAATCGTTAAACGTTATGATTTTATGGAAATGTTATGGAAGTTATGAAAATATTCTCTGTCCTGTAATGTTTGCAAAAATTCAATTTAGATTTTAATTGAAGTCGAAAAATGGAAGCAGGATTTGATATAAGGAATTTTATAGAATTCTTAAAAAAGAAAGTTAATTGCCGAGAAGCTGAGTTTAGTGAACTGTGTGAAAAACAATCAAAAACGTTACCTTCGTTAACAATACGCGAAAGCCTATCCAAATTATAAACCGAAAGCTCGGACTGCTTCAGCTTTGTTAATGATTGGATACAAATGTATATTTTATGATAGAAATGACCGCATGAAATACGAATGCACAGAGGTGAATTCCGAACAGAAACGTAACTTTTTGAAATGTACCAAAAAGTCTTTTCTGAGTTTAGGATGTAAACATTTTTGCAACCAATTGTAAGAACAAACAATTTTCCTACAGAATTTGTCGCGGAAACATTATGAAAGTGTTTTTGTATATCCCGTATCGGCTATCTTCAGAGTAAAAGATGGAAACCAAAACATCGACGGGAATTGCTCAAAATTCTGTTAAAACGGGATCTAATATTATGTTTCACGCGGTACGTGCCGTGGCTGAGGGTAGACATAACAATTTTACTGGGAGATGTCTTATCGACGGTAGTAGCCAAATCTCTGCAATTCCAGAGGATTTATCTAGAAAATTAAAATTACCAGTGAAAGGAGAAACTATTTTAAATCTGCATACTTTCGCTGAAAAGAAGGGACAACAATGCGTCTAAAGAAAGTTGAACTTACTCTACGAAACTCTAATGACCCTGAAAATTACGTAAATCTTCAAACCGTCAGAGTGCCAGTCATAACAAATGTGAACATACGAATACCAGATGTAGAAATCAAGTTCAAACTCCAAACATTCGGCATCTCTTTGACAGACTCCAGCGGCCCAGACAGAATGAGTCATGAGATTTTCGTTTTAATTAGGGCAGATATTACGTGAAAGATAGCAAGTGAAGAATTAAAAAGGATAAGCAGTAACCCCAAAGCAATGAAAACCTTGTTTGGTTGGTGTATATGTTACAGAAAATACCCGATGTCTGGTAAATCCTAGGTTTTACCGGTAACATATATATTATAAATTCAAATCTCAATTCCATTAATATATCAATAAAAAACTACAGTGCAGTCAGTAAGTGAAAGTCTAAAATTCAACTGTGAGCTGTGAGCGAAAATTCCATGTATGTTGGGTGTTAGGGGTGTTGGGTATTAGATATAGTCAACACTTCGCATATTAATGAATTGTTATTTCTTCTACCAGTTGGGAACATTCCAAATGTTAAAGAACGAATGTTAAAGATTCCAAATGTTGAACGCTAAGTCAACAAACATCCGAAGTTTAGAATCGTTAAACGTTATGATTTCACAGGAATGAGAAATAGAACATCTATACTATAGTTT